ACCTACCTAACAATGAGGTTGAGGTTCTAAAGTATTTTTAAAAGGCATTTGGATTGCGTAGGCTTCTTAAAATCTGCTTAAGATGGCCTGTATACTGCATTAAACCTCTTAGTTAGTTAGGCGCCGAGACAACGCAATTAGGTTATATTTTATTGAATTCTTAACCATCATAGATATTAGATAATGCTGATGTGTATCGTGTAGAGAAATAATAAAATGTGTCCTTGTTCAGCATGTAAGTCGGAGTTAAGTTTGCAGTCGGGCTGTACATGTAGTCTGATAAATTAAGGATCGGTTACAAGAGTTTTGAAATGGTCGGCCACCAATATAGCTAGCAAATGGAGGTAACATGAACAGAACAAAACGGAATAAAACACTGAGATCGAAGTAGAACATGCAGAACAGAACAGAAGAAAAGAAAAGGAAATTGGAAACGGGGAAAAAAGAAAATAGGAAGAGAAACAAAGGAGAATTGAAAGACATGAGCAGAGAAGCCAAAAGAAAAGAAGAAAAAAAGAAAGAAAGAAAGAAAAGAAAAGAAACTCAAAGAGAAGAGAAGATATACGACCAGAAAAACTAATAAAAATCAAAAGGACGACGTAAAACTACATGAATCGAATTGAAAAAAAAGAAAGGAAACGCTATCTTTTACTTTAACATCTGCCAATCTATTTGTCCTTTACAAGCCAAACAAAGGAAATGGATAAAAGCCGGCGGCCTTATTCAAAAGAAATATGAAATCTCATGAATACAAGAGATAGAGAGTTTCTAGAGAGTTCCATCAACATTACTTGATATATATTGTTGGACTTTTAGCAGAAGGCACATCACAAATTTTAATTAACTTTTTATTTTAAGTTGAGTTCAAAATCCAAGAGAGAAAGGCCTGCTTTGATATAGCCATATTCAAATGACCAAATTAATCATTACTCGTGGCGGAGACTTTTCTTAATCTAGTTCTTATGATTTCTTTTCGCGACATTAAAAATCCGATTATAAATTTGATAATCCCATTAGCTTTATATTATATTAATACTACTCCTTATAAACTCTGAGTACCAAAGGAAACTGTACTGACTAGAAAATAAAACAAAATGCAAAGATTTTTTTTCTTTCTCTCTTTTTGTTTTTGATTTTTTTAAAAAAATTAGCCAAATATAATCCTATAGCCAGGACTTGTTAAGAATCACATTCAGAATTTTTTTGTACTCATTGGTTTTATTGGTTTCATGGGCCAATTAAATAAAAGTTGTACTATTCATTTAGCTATTTATATTATTCATTTCCGCTGAGTGGAAAAAGCTAGAGGGTTATTAGGAAACACAGCAATATAGTTTGGAGAAGTAGGTTTGGGTGATGGAAGCCGAGCGATCAACACTCCTATCGCCGATGAAGGTTTCTTTTCTTCAACGTCTCTTGGCTGTTTGGCTGTTTTTTACGCTGCTGAAAGTTAACTGCTTCTGTCATGGCGCCGAGCACGGTAGGGTTGTGGTGCACTATAATCAAAGTTTTAACCACTACACTACAGCAGACAGTAATGCTGCGAAGTCCCTTAGCAATAAGCAGACGACTTCCAAGGGTTTCAACAGACAGCATCAAAGAAATTCTGTGCAGTTTGAGACTCCAAGCGACACAAGTATACATGTATCGACAAGGATCGCTGCACGTCGCGTATTGAGTGCTGAGGAGACTTCAAGCCACCCAGATGTGAAGGTGTTGGGTATGGCCCTGGTTACGCACCATCATAATCTACCGACTGCCCAAAAAGTACCGACGATCAAAACAATCTATCGTGGATCAAGTGCTGAAGAGACTGCAAGCCATCCAGATGTGAGGGTATCTGGTATGGCCCTGGTTAGGCACCATCATAATCTACCGACTGCCCAAAAAGTACCGACGATCAAAACAATCTATCGTGGATCAAGAGCTGAAGAGACTGCAAGCCACCCAGATGTGAGGGCGTCCTATAGTACCTTAGCTCTGACTAGGGATCAGAATCCACATACTGTCGAAATTCACTCAAAACCTAAAGGTAAAGAAATTTTATTTCATTTCGACATTTTTTTCCAACTGGAACCGACAGCGCGCTTCAAATGCTTCTCTATGAGGATATCATTTTAAAAGTTTTGCATTTGATAAGGCTAAACCGCCAATACATTAGAAAAAAGATAATATGAGGCGATGATGTCACTATGGAGAAAATTACTGATCTTTTACTTAGGATCGCGCCAACCGCCAACTTTCTTACTCAAGCTTCACTTGTACAATACTTTGGCCCTACTTTGAGGCACTGAAGCCGGAGTATTTGGGTAACAAATTCTTTAACTTTAATCCGCATTTGAGTATTTATATAGAAAATGCGCAATATTAGTATTAAATATTATTATTATTAACCGTAATACCTCGAAAAAAATAATAAAAGGTCGAACAAAAATAGAAAAAACGTCCCCAACGAAACTGCTGAAAACACACATTACCTCAATACTGAACAGTCTTTGGGATTAGAATTATCGAAATACCAGCCGCATGCAAAATAATGCTTTTAATCCCACTATCGTAATCCGCAGTAGGTGTCTTCCAATATAACTAATGGTTAATTGAAAAAATAGATATTCTTACAATGAAACCTTCTGCTCTGACAGGAAGTGAACAAATACACAGGACAAAGAAAATCAAAACGGTGCAAGAAAACAAGCTAATATATTTAGAAAACAACTTGAAAAGAAGCTTCAAAAAACGACAAAAAAGAGAAAGTACAAGTCAATTAACCTGCAAGTTTCCCAGCTTTCTGGAAACCTCGCCACTCTGTTTGGTATCTAAACTAATCCCTGGAAAAGTGTGCAAATGGTTTCACACCCGGCAAGATAAGACTCCGCTTTTTCCTTTCCCAAACATTGTCCCACCCTACCACAATTGGGAGTTACAGGGTAGTGCGGCTCAAATGCGCAATATGAACAATAGATATCTTTTTGGCTGCATCCAGAAATACAGCAACAACCATTATCTAGTCAAAATTACTGGCAAGTTTAAAGAAATTGGAGAACGATACCATCACTACACTCGTTTCCTTTGCGTGAAATTCGTTCCAAGAGGTCTCAATGTCGTCCAGTACATGGTATCCAAAAGCAGCAACGTATCTGAGGACTTGCACTGTGATACACAGAAACTGAAATATGTTGAACAGGTTCTGATTGCTGATAAATTTCGGGAGCTACCTGATTGTCCACGTGATCTCCGTGGGGCATTTAGAATTACGCGGGTTCACGATGCTGTTCACAACGTCACATGTCACTTGAGTCCCCTCAAAGCAAGTCTTTTGGAATCAGATTGTGTGAATAAAGAAGGCATATATTTGGACTTCAGTGCGTTTCGTGGTTGTGATGGATTTAATAACGATACTAGTGGAGTAATGTATGCTAGGGATATCGTATATCTGCGGTGTTATAGCGCATCATGGAAGAAAGGTGGTTGGAATTATGTTGTGGTTAAGCGCGACAAAACGAAAAAGAAAATTGGCTACAGAAACACCGAGATGTTCCATTGCCTACGATTTAAGAAGGACCAAATAACAAACAATATTAAGCTTTTTATATACTTTGATTCTTTATGCGGATTCAGTGACAGCCATATCAAGAATTCCACTCCTTATTTTGTGTTTGATATAGTGCCTCTTACATCTTCCTTGCTATCAAACGCCAAAAAAACTGAGCTAGAACAACTGAGATGCGACTTGCCTAAAGCTATTTTGGGAGAGTGGATTGAAAAATCAGCTTATTCTGGTGAGCAAACAATCAGAATTGGAAAACAAAACATAGAACTGGGACAAGAAGGAAAGTATATGTGTATGCAGTCCGATAGAGGTCAGGGAATCAAATATCTATTTCCTACAAGCAGATGTGTCAAAAGAACCTGGATGGAACGAAGGAAAGTTTCCCATTTCAACAATAGCTTCATGCTTATTTCTGCTAACTTGCCCATTGGTTGTCGTCCACGATTCGTGGGGTTCTCTGTTTTACAGAGCGAAGCTACTAGTAGCATTCATCTTACGTATCGTCTTTCTCAAAGTATTGCGTTACCAATGGAGTCTATTCAAGATCCCATGCTGTTTGTTCAAAACTCACTCCCAGAAAAGTTCTGCAACAAAAGACATCTCTTTAGATTGGATCCTTATCCTCGCTGGGGTCGTAACATTGAAAAGATCGCTGTTCGTCCAAATGCCTTGGAAAGTAATCAACCTTTGCTGGACTGCAGATTCCAGGGACCTCTTCCTAACATGTTTTCCTTTTCCGGAAAGCTTCGCGTTAATGTTATTAATGGTGGAATAAAAAATTCAAGGTGTCCTGGAAGAATCAACATCTGCTCAAGTCCGACTCAAATCCATCTTCAGTATGATGTGACGTGCAGGAAGAAGGATGCAAGCTATGGCTGCCTTGGGAAGGTATGGAATACCAAACAGAAACGGGGACAAGATCATTATTTGCTGCAAGACTTGCATACACACCAGATTTATTGCGCTCGATCGTCGGAAAGTGGGTTTGAAATAGTACGAGCAGCGTCTATGCAGTGTTATGAATTTTACTGGGGACTAGCGGCCTTTCAACAACAGTTTCATGAAAAAATCGATATTCTTACTGAAGGTTTTATGGAATGTCCTACAGGAAGCCCTGGTGGCGCGACTGATGCGACAGGTGCTGTCTTAGAAGGGGATGTTACAGACCCTAACAACACACTTGTTCCCCTTAAAAATAACACCAAAATCAAGGCAGTCAGTACCTCACCAAATTCAATATATAGAGCAAATATTCTAAGTTTAATAATTACCATCTGGATTTGGTTGGAGTATCTATTACTTTAATTTTCTCGACATTTGCTTGCATAGCGAAGCCATGTTATTATTGAAACAAAAAAATTAGACTAAGGCCCTGGATAAACGAGGAAACATGTCTCCAGGAACATGTTTTCTTAAATGTTTTTAAAGGTGGCAAAACTGTCAGGGAACATCGGGAAACATGTTTACTCAATATCGGTTAGCGCATGCGCACTTCCAAGATGAACCTAGCGTCGCTAAGTAACGAACTTTTAGAATGTTGACTTTCGTGGCTAAACGAGGAAACATTGGGAAACATTGTTTCCATGCGTCTTGGAAACATGAAATGTTTCTGCCGCACAGCATGCAACACTAATGTATAAGACGATGCATAAGCGCGTGCCAACGTACATCCAAAATCTCTTTGAGCTGAAAAAACTTAATTACAACTTATGTAATCAAAAAAATACTTTTCAGTTCCTAAGCCACATACTGAGTATCTTAAGAATTCTTTTTTTTATAGTGGTTCTTCACTGTGGAATAGCCTTCCGCAATCTGTGAGAGAGGCAAAAACATTGAAAATGTGTTTTCTTAATGTAAAGACTCCCACGGCCTACATGTAAAGAGGTATCTAAAGCATGTATACTATATATCTGTATTTAGTTAGCATTTATATTATATATTTTTAGCTGTAATTGACTGATGTATTTTACCGTGGTTAAATAAAGATTCAGATTCAGAACCCGCCAATAGGTCTTTGTCAGGAGGAGCAATTGCACATCGCGACAACCGACCCGTCCCCTCCATCGCGCGACCATCTACTCCCATCCCCTCCATCCCCTCCATGGCGCGACCATTCACACACGAACAAATTCCTCTTTCCCCTTTCTCCCCTCTCTGTCTCTATTGTCAAAAAGTCGTGGTATTTGTACTCAGTGATTTTAGTACATAGTACTCGAGGGATTGGGACCCTCTGCAGGCAAAATGTTTGAACTAAAGAAGGTTTAAACAAAAGAAGGTGAGAAATTAGGATAAAATCGCATGAGCACTGAAAGCGATTCTTAAACTATGAACTGGCTTATACAAGAGTATTATTGTACAATATACTTGCTGGATAGCTGATTATACCAATTTGCGCGCAATAAAGAGATTACTTCAGCATCGTTCACCGCACTTACTGTTGTCAAAAAGTCATACTAGTACTGATCGTACTCTCGACTGCACTGACATAGACCGCGATTTCAATATCCTACGCTCAAGTTTCTCATAATCTTATTGCTCCTGGCAACGTTGTGCACGCTGTATCTCAACAGATCAAGCTGTTTCTTTCAACCTTTTAGAGTGTACCATCAGTTGATCTTTGCAGGCCATACAGTTCGACAGTTTTTCGGCATGACTAATTCCACATGCCATATTAATTAAAATTCTCAAGATGCAACGTTATGTTTTTTTAATTTCAACCACTTATGAATTCACTTATGAATAATATTTTGTGTTTTTATTTCCGTAAATTGTTCTCGAAACGGAAAGGAAAGAAATAATAAGTATATTTTAAATAAATGGACTCGGTCAAATTGAGAGGTGCTCTTGTGATCTTTTGCCCTTAGTCTTCCCTCGACTTCCCTCCCTTCCCTCGATCAATGCTTGTTTTTTCTCATTGGCTATGAAAATGACCAAACAAAGGCAGTGACTTGATCGACGTGAAAGAACTATATGTCACATCAAAGTTTGGGTTTCCTGTGTTATTACCCAGGATTCAACATTTTACCACAGGCAACCCGTCAAACCGGGAAACTGTAATGCTGAAGTGGAAACTTTCTCGTAGTTTTTGCCGTGCAATAATGTCAAAATTGTTAATAGAAGGGGAAGGCCTCACTGCGACTGTTACTCTTAACGATGGGCACAAGATGCCTCTATTTGGGCTTGGGGTTTACCAAGCAAAACCCGAAGAAACTTCAAATGCTACGACAACAGCCATTCAACATGGCTACCGAATGATCGACACGGCAGCTTTGTATGGGTAAGTGACAAAATAACCTTATCTTGCTTTCATGGAATCCATGAAATGTTTTTTTTTATTTATTCTCACTCAGACGGGGTAAAGTTGATGTAAATATATATCAATAATGTTTCCCTTTGGTCCCTGACTCCACAGCTAGACAATAGGAAATATTAGGTACTGTACCTTAACCTGGACAGTGCTTACCATGAGATGAGAGGAGGGAGGGACAGTTGTTTAGAGGTGAAGGGTCTGATGACATGTGTATATCCAGCCCTTTGTCGTCCATAGAGGAAGAGGGCTTCTGGGTTAATATGTGTACATCCTTACTGGGAAATTCAGTGACATATAAGCATAAACACAAGCATAAGAAGAACGAAACGTTTCGATCCTACTGCTAATGCTTGTCACTAGTGAGGAACAGCCAATAGTGTTTACAGGGGTTGGCGGAAGCTGAAAATCTTTGGGGTTGCACTGCAAAAAATCTTTGGGGTGCACTGCAAAAAATCACAACAATAACTTAATAACTAATAAAAATCGAATATATGCATTTATATTTCATGTAAGCCAACATTTCGTGGGGGACCCCCGGTTCTGCCGCCCCTGGTTTAGTGCCAATGCAGCCTCAACCAGTAACTGCTAATAATTTTCAGTTCTATATGATTGTATACCTGACTATTGCTATATTTTCTTTTAATATTTAACCTACTAGAAATGAAAAAGAAGTTGGAGAAGGGATCAAGAAATCAGGAGTAAACAGAGAAGACATTTTTGTTACGAGCAAAGTTTACCCAAATAAGGAGAACCATGGATATAATGAATCTATAAGAGCAGTGAAAGAAAGCTTGGCAAAGTAAGGAATGCATTATTTGGGAAGCACAGGTGGCATAGCAGTGAGAGAGCCCGCCTCTCATCAAGGCAACCCATGTTTGAGTACTGCCGGCTCAATGTCCCATGAGTAGAGTTGCTTGTTGGTTGTCTACTGTGCTTCGAGGGGTTTTCTCTGGGTTTTTCCTTTTTCCATAAAAACAACTTTTAAATTCCAATTGAAATCCAGTGGTAGATTAGAGCCACTCTTTGGAATCCAATGTTTATTCACATTATTTTATTTTGTATTTGATGTGTTATTTAGCTTTGGTTATTATAAATCCTTAGATTCATTTTCTAGTGGGGGAAAATATTGGGAATGGACTACTTTGTTGATATGGCAGTCATCTTGGATTACAAGGCATTTTGGGGTGTCCAGGGTTAAAAGACAGAGATAGCAGATAATATATACAGAGTTTCATGTGTTTGTCTATCTTTCATGGGTAGAGAAAATTGATGTACCATCTTTAGCTGTAATAATGACAGGCGATGTAAAGAAAACTATACCAAGCCTTACATTAGCTCTATTTACTCCTGGGTGCCCCATGATGCCTTATGATTTAAGGTGATGGCTATATTGTGGAAGTAGGCCATTTAGATTACACAGAGTGGCTCTTTATCCAATGAACTCAATTGGAATTTTGTAGTTGATGTTAATGGAGTGACAAAATTCACAAAACCTGGAGAAATCCATTGAAACACATGAGAGAACTGTACTCACATATGAAGCAAATGGCATGTACTCACAAAAGAAATGGAGAACCTGAAGAAAAAAAACAACACTGAAGCACAGGAGTGAACCATTAACATTTCTACTCACATACAGTATGACACCAAGACAGGCAGGACTCAAACCCGGGTTGCATTGATGAGAGGAAAATAATGCATTGGTGTCTATGCTTTATTCTTGTTATTTTTACATTTTCCTTCTCTTGTTATTGTACTTTTCTCTCCAGGCTTGACACAGGGTATATTGACCTCTACCTAATCCATTCACCTTCACCTGGTAAAAATATAGAGACATATGATGGCTTGCTGAAGATGAAGGAAGAAGGCCTCATAAGGTACAGAATCTTTGAAACTTTTTTAGGTCTCATGCCGCTTCATTTCTTTCATATAGCTTTTTGCATAGGATCTAATACAAATTGGTTACTCCTAAGTTATTTGAAATAATTATGTAAACATTGTACAGTGTACATTGCTGTTAGTAGACTGTGATCACAGTTTACACCATCTAAATTTTGGTTTGAGTGGTATTAAGTTTGTTAATATAGTTTAATATTAAGCGGTAGTTATTCATTATATTCTGTATCATATGTCACCTCGTGGCATCGCTTCAGTGCATGGATTAATCTGGAGTAGTGTGTATGTGACCTCAGAATAAATAAGTTTCAAACAGTTGTTGTGCTAGACAAATTTCTTGCAACTTGTACATTGAAAGGTAATCTAGTTTAGCACCTAAATTAAACATTAAATTGCTTATTCTATTACAGGTCTGTGGGTGTGTCCAACTTTGGTATTCATCATCTGGAGGCCCTGAAGAAATCTGGTCGCCCAACCCCAGCTGTCAATCAAATTGAACTCAATTGCTTCTGCCGCAGAGAAGACACTGTCAAGTATTGCAGAGATCATGGCATAGTTCTAGAGGGGTTCTGCCCAATTTTCCGTGGACGAAAAAATAATGACCCCTGCTTAGTTGAAATAGCAAAAAGGTAATTAATAATCAGCTGCCTTCATTGAGCTACACTGCTGCTATACTGGGGTGGTGACTAGTGATAAACAATTTTTTTTGGTCACAGCGAAGAACATGCAAAGAACTTAATGTACCCTTGGACGTATGATGATTGTGCAACAGTCTTACATTATACTAACTTATCACACCACACCACACCACACCACACTGCACCACACCACACCACACCACACCACACCATACTATACCATACTAATGTCATAAAAACATGATTTGCAATCAGTATTTGGATCTTCCCAACCCCATTTTCAAAACTTTCTTGGACCCCAGCAAGAAAACACTTGAAGGCATTTTCTAAGAAATTGGACATGCATAATTTGACTGCCACTGTTGGCTCAATTGGTTGAGCATCAGTCTGTTGTGTGGGAGGTTATGGTTCAAGTCCTGGCTGGACCAACACAAAGGGTCTTAAAATAACTGAGGAGAATGTGCTGCCTTTGTAATTACATCTAGAAATGGTTAGACTTTCGAGTGGCTCGGATGACCACTTTAAATAGCGGTCCTGTCTCTCCACACTCATCATTACTAACCAATATCAGAGGACCGTTAAAAATCCACTGAGGACTTTAAAAACCTCTGGCTGGCAGTGACCATCCTCAGTCACATTATATCAACGACTTAATGATTGTAATGCCTTTGAATATATATGTAGAAAGGGTGCTATATGAATCACAAGTCATTACATTTTTTTACAACATGATTTATTGGGTGGGGGAGGGGGGTCAGAGAGGGAGAAAATACAATAAAATTTCAATATTGTACCCAAGACCCACAAGACCAACAAAAGAAATAGAAATTATTGAAAGATTATTCCCTTGATGTTAAATATAGTATTAATTGTAATTTAAAACTATCTTATAAATCCTCTGGTTTACAGGTACAATAAGACTGTCCCACAGCTTCTAAATCGTTGGAGTGTTCAAAAGCAGTTTGTAACTATACCAAAGTCAGTAAAGCCAGATAGGATCATGGAAAATGCTCAAATTTTTGATTTTGTTATCAGTGATAAAGATATGCAAGTATTGGTGAGTGTTTGTTATACTTGTAATATGCACCAATGCTACAAACAAATGACAGTAATAATACATGACACCAAAGACACTAATGACAAAACAGAATACTAAAACAGATACAGACACTAGACAGACACTATAGACACTATAAATAGACACTACAGACGCTACAGACACTACGGACACTACACACACTACAGACACTAATGACAATACATACACTATAGAAACTACAGACACTACACTGTACAGACACTATAGACACTACAGACACTACATACACTACATACACTACATACACTACACTGTATAGACACTACAACACTACTGACACTACAAACACTACAGACACTACAGACACTACATACACTACATACACTACATACACTACACTGTACAGACACTACAGACACTACAGACACTACAGACACTACAGACACT